GCACCTCCTATATGCGCTGCTCTGGGCTTCAAGCCACTTCTCCTGCCTTCAGCCTCCTGAGTAGCTGCAGTATCAGGCGCCCGCCCGCCATGCCTGCTACAGCTTTTGTTTCTTTATATATTTTTAAAGGATGATGGTAGAAGCATAAAAAGAGACAGAGGCAGGGTGAGGAGAGAGAGGAAGAGACAGAGAGAAGACAGATAAGGAAGGAAGGGGGAAAGGAGGAGAGAGGAGAAACAGATTGATGATAGATGAGATACATAAAAAGTCACAGAGAGGAAGAGGGAGAGAGAGAGACAGAGAGGCCGGGTGCAGTGGCTCGAGCGTCTTTTAACCCCAGCATTTGGGGAGGCCAAGGCAGGAGGATCGCTTGAGCCCAGGAGTTTGGGAGTAGCCTGGGCAACATGGCAAGATCCCATCTCTACAAAAAAATTTTTAAAAAACTAGCAGGGCATGGTAATATATGCCTGTACTCCCAGGCACTGGGGAGGCTGAGGAAGGAGGATTGCTTTAGCACAGGAGGTCAAGGCTGCAGTGAACTATGATGACACCATTGCCCTTCAGCCTGGGTGACAGAGGGAGACTCCTATCTCCACAGAAAACTTTTTGGTTATTTTTTTTGAGACTCTCACTCTTGTCGCCCAGGCTGGAGTGCAGTGGCGCAATCTCGGCTCACTGCAACCTCCACCTTCTGGGTTCAAGCGATTCTCCTGCCTCAGCCTCCTGAGTAGCTGGGAGTATAGGCGCCCGCCACCATGCCTGGCTAATTTTTGTGTTTTTAGTAGAGATGGGATTTCACCCTATTGCTCAGGCTGGTCTCGAACTCCTGACCTCGTAGCCTGCCGGCTTCGGCCTCCCAAGGTGCTGGGATGACAGGTGTGAGCCATGGTGCCCGGCCTCACAGAAAAAAACTTTTTTAAAAAATTAGCTGGGCATGGTGATGCATGCCTGTACTCACAGCTACTCGGGAGGCTGAGGTGGGAGGATAGCTTGAGCCTAGGAGGTCACGGCTGCGGTGAGCTGTGACTGCACCACTGCACACCAGCCTGGCCAGCAAAATGAGACCTCGTCTCAAAAAATATATATATATAAAGAGAGCCGGGCGAAGTGGCTCACGCCTGTAATCCCAGGACTTTGGGAGTCCCAGGTGAGTGGATCACCTGTTGGGAGTTCAAGACCAGCCTGACCAACATGGTGAAACCCTGTCTCTATTAAAAATG